CTCTCTCTCTCACTCTCTCTCCCTCACTCTCTCTCACTCCGGTGACCCCTTTCCAATTTCCGGGCAGAAGTCCCTGACTTAGACGTCCTACAGGCACCTCAAATCGAGCAGCCCGCAAACTGAATTTAGCACCTTCCTTTTCTCTGTGTTCCCTGTTTCAGTAGAGCTGCCATTCTGTGCCTGCTTGCTGCAAGCCGGCCACACACGGGTCTCTTGGGTCTGGCTCCTGGTTATCTCCTCCCCTGCTGTGTTTACTGCGAGCCAGCTGCGGGAGATTATGTAAAGTTTTCTGAGCACAGGGTGCGTCCTCCGGTTTTGGCTCTATGCTGCTCCCTCTGCTGGTCACACTCTTTCCTCACTCCTTTGTCCTGGAAAATTCCTGCCCATTTTTCACTCCTTGGGGCAAGTGCTTCCTTTCCATTGTGACAGCTGCCAGGACTTTTCTAGGCAGACTTACGAATTCCTCCTTCATGTTGCAAGGCTGGCTGGTAGGAATCGTTTCTATTTTTGTACAGTGAACTCTTTGAGGTCAAAGATAGGATCTCCGTCACAGTACCTGGCCGGTAACGGTCATTCAGTAAATTTCCTGAATGAATGCATAAATAAATGACCACATGAATAAATGGATAACTGCAAGATGATTATTTGTGGATATATCTGCCAAGTCTGACAGTATTGTGACTCAGTGTGCCATAGGCATATGTGGTTACACATAGCCAGATATGTGTATGTTATAGAAATAGTGACTGTATTTACACAAACTGAGGGTATGTATTGTGCAAAGGGCAATGCACTGTTGTCCACAGACGGGTTAAAAGTGTGAGGGGCTTCAGGAGGTGATTGCATAAGAGTAACAGATCAAGAATATATGTGAATGAGGAGTGGCAGTATGGGTAGTACACAGTTGAAAGCAGAGTCTGTTTGCACTCAGGGGGACAAAGTCTGGGTGTACCCCCCTGAAAAGAAGGAGAAAGGATATCCAATGTTGCTCCAAGACGAATTTCCTGGCATCCCATCCCCCCTGGATGCAGCTGTGGAATGCCACCGTGGAGAATGCCAGGAGGAAGGCATCCTCTTCTTCCAAGGTCAGTCCCGGCTGGGGTCTGAAACCTGCATCGTGTCGGGGTGGCGCTGACGGGGTAATGTGTGACACTGCGCATGGAGGTGGGGTGAATCACTACGTGGCTCTATAAGGGGGGAAACAGAGAAGCCAGTTAGAGTGTAGAGGTCAGGAAAGGGAAAGAGAGCAAATCCTTTTGGTGAACATAACCAGGTGCGGGTTCATCAAAAATTCTCCATTACTTCCCATGATCCTAGGCCTAAGACACTTTTTTGTTCCTTAGTGTTGTGTATAAAGCCCCCCATAACTATACCCCTAGTGATCCTCCAGCTTGGACTCTTATCATGCCCTTACCTTGAATACTAAGCTCTAGAAACTCTATGCCAGCGATCATCGAACCCCTGGCTCGTGCGCTGCAGCGGGATGTTTGTATCACTGAAAGCTCTAAAGGATTTGCCATCACCTCTCTCTACGTCCCTGATACACTCAGTTTTCTTCATGTTCCAGGCTCTTACCTCTTTCTAAAGTTTCCTCTCCCCCTCTTGACTGCCTTGTAAATCCCATGTCAGGTTTCAGTTTAGCCTTCAGCCGCCCTGAGAAGGTTTCCCTTACTGCATTTCTGAGCTGATCATAGGATCAGCACTCTGCGGCTGAATTTTGCTGTACGCTCAGTCTCCTCGACTGTCGCCCTGCGCGGCGCTCTCCACAGGGCCGATACTGTATATCGGATCCAACCCGAGCCCGGTGAGAGCATAAAGGAAAGCATAACCTGGCCTGACCCACGCTTGTTGACTTCTTGGACAAAGGTAACCGCAAGTGGTTCTGGGACCTGACTACAGGAACCAAAAAGGAGCGTATGTGGCCAGATGTGGGGAACTGCACCTCTGCCCTGCGCTGGCTTGGCCGCTACTACTGCTTCCAGGGTAACCAGTTCCTGCGCTTCAACCCTACCACGGGAGAGGTGCCTGCCACATACCCTCTGGATGCCCGTGACTACTTCATGCCCTGCCCTGGCAGAGGTGAGGAAGCCCCAGACCCATGTGCCCCATCACCCTTAACTCTGGGTTGTAACACCTTGGCCCTACCCTCGCCCCATCCCCACTGTGGCTTTTCCTGTCCCCTTCACACAGGGAAGCCCACACTCCTGCTGTCCCCGGCCGTCTCACACCCCTTGGGCCCCACTCTGACCGCCGGCCTCCCTCTGCCTCCTCACTCATTTCTCCCACTAGGCCACAGGCATACAATTGGCCATGGAAACAGCACCCACCAGCTACCTGATCAGTCACGCTGTAGCCCGGATCTACTCTTGTCTGCGTTGGTTTCTGACAACCACGGTGCCACCTACGCCTTCAGTGGTGAGAGGTTCCCCCCAGCTTTCCCCGTGTCTGTCCTTCTGCCTCTTGCACTTGTGCCTCTCATCCCTGTGCTTTTCTCCGTTTTCATCGCTATGTCATGTATTTCGTCCCTGCCGCCCCTCCCCCTCCTCCCACGCCCTTTCACATCCTCCTGTTTTTCAACCTTGTCTCTCATCGCCTGGGCCTCTAAATGAGCTCACGTGTCTACTTGCTATGGCTGTGCCCCCGTGAACTTCTCTGGGCGCCAGTGACTCCTTAGGTCTCCTTGTCCAGTGCCCTGCTCAGTCCTCTGACTGCCCTTTGCTCTCTGAAAGTCTCGTGTCTCGGGGTCTCCTTGTATCTGTTTGCACTTGCATGTTTTTCTGAGTACTCTGGCTTCTCCTGAATTGATTTTGAGGAGCTCCATCTTCTCCCAGGTGACTGGTTTCTTTTTTGTTTTAGTTTTTGTCTTTTTGAGACAGGGTCTTGCTGTATAGTTCAGGTTGGCCTTCAGCTCACTTTGTAGCCCAGGCTGGTCTTGAACTCACAGTGATCCTCCTGCCTCAGCCTCCTGAGGGCTGGGATTAGAGGCGTGTGCCACTACACCTGGCCATCGTGACTGGTTTCTATGTCCAGGCCTCTGCACTAAAAGATCATCTGGGGTTGAGATATCCCTGTTGCTAAAAACCGGACAATAAGCTTTGGGTGCTACCGACATTTAGAATCTGGTTTCAAGAAATTTCCTCCTCTGATTGTTCAGTGGTGACACCCATTCTGGCATCAGTTGGTAAAAACCATCTAATGATGCCTAGGGATGCTCCCGGATTAGTGAAGTAGGCAATGATGAGTCATGCTCCATACTTAATATCCCCAAGAGAGGGCATGACTAACCACATTGCACTCAGCCTAAGATGTATGTATGATCAGATACAAAAGTAGGGTAGGTGCTGAGGACACAGAAAACTGAAATACTTTTTTTTTTTTTTTTTGCTCCTAATTTCAAGACAAACTTTTCATCAGTCATTTTACTATTTTTCAAGTTCTATTGAAAAATCACAGCCACATGGAGGGCATATCCCCTTTGCAGGAATGTACACTGTAAGAACGTATGGCCTGATGTGTTTACATTTAGTGACAATACACAACTAACCTAAGAAAATATGCGAGTAAGAACACATAAGCATCAGCTATGGTGAAACATGAACCCATTGGGAGAACACACAGACAAACTGAATCTGTGTGTGTGTGTGTGTGTGTGTGTGAGAGAGAGAGAGAGAGAGAGAGAGAGAGAGAGAGAGAGAGAGAGAGAGAGACTAGAAGAGAAAAGAAAACAGGGTCATAGGACCACACAGAAATAGAGAGTGAGAGAGCTAGAGAGAGAGGAGAGACAGAGAAAGAGAGAGAGACCAACTTCTGAGCCATGGAGAAATCACAGATCTTCAAGACCATGTGACTATAAAGAGAATGTAGGCGAACTCCTAAATGAAAAATATGTTCCCTACCTATTGAGAGGGCACACAGCTATGGAGATAACATCATTATATTAAGGGGGTAGTGGCACATGCCTGTAATCCCAGTACTTGGGAGGCTGAGGCAGGAGGATCATTGTGAGTTCGAGACCAGCCTGGGCTACAAAATGAGCTCAAGGCCAGCCTGAACTACATAGTGAGATCCTGTCTCAAAAAGACAAAAAAAAAAAAAAAAACCCGCACATCATTATATTAAATACCCAGCTGAGAAAAGAACTCCTGTCTTGATGAGAACACCCATGTGGCCTAGCTACCCAGCATGGGGCTGGTCATCCCTCTCTTTCTCTAAATCTTTCTCTTTCCTCTGCCTCATAGCTTCTTACTCGGTCTGATTCTCACAACTTTGCCTTGCTCACGGACTACCATGTCTTCTCCATCTTTGCTCGTATGATATTTGAGCCTCTGATTTAATTGATAACTCCCTCAGTTGTTCTTTTATCTGGTCAGATATCCAGAGAGGGACTCAGAATGGCCCAGCCCCATATTTTCATACCAGAACCATTAAAATGCTTGCTGGTCGACCTATATATTGGCTACAGATGAGTTTGGGGATCATTGCTTACATCCTCTTCAGGGAGAGCAGCATATACTCTGATTCTCCACAGCAGGACCCTGAGCAGAGTAGTTACAAGAGTAGTAGGGGAAGATGAATGGTCAGTCATCACTACAAACTGAGTCCACAGCTTTTGTGTGTATCAGAAACAACAGGTGTTCACCTAACAAACATCTATTAAGCACCTGAGAGGTACCGGGCATCATTTTAGGGCCCAGGAAACAATTGTCAACACAAAAGACAAGACATCTGGCCCTATAAAAGCTATTCAAGAGAAAGGACAACAAGGAAGAAGGAAAGAGAATACTCCCACAGAGTATTAAGAGCTGTGATATAAAGAGACTAATTAATGGGATAGAGGTGAGGAAAATGAGGGCCCCTTCTTCTGAAGAATTGAGTTTTAAGCTAGTATTTCAATGATGAAAAGAAGTAACCACAGAAAGCCCTGGATGAAGAGCATTTTAGAAAGAGCAAACAGCAAATAGTTGGAGGAATCATGAAAGAAGGCTACTGTAGCTGGAACACAGAAGGAGAGGGTGGGTGGTTTGAGAGAGAGAGGAGGGAGGCAGAGGCAAGAGGATTGCTGCAAGTTCACAGGCAAGCCTAGGCTACTTAGTGAGTTCAAGGCCAGCCCAAACTACAAAGAGAGACCCCGTCTTAAAAAGACCAAACCAAACCAATGGGGTGTGTGTATGGGGGAGGGGAGGTTACACAAGCCTGGTAAAGATTTTCAGTTGTAAAAGGAAGCCAAGAGGACTGATAAGGATTGCGATATGGCCTGACTTATTTTTTGGAAAAGACCGTCCTGGCTTCATGGGGAGCATCAGTTATAAAGGTGTGCTTGCGTAAGCAGAGGATCTGGCCAGTAGTTCCTGCAGCTGTCCAGGGTGCAGGTGAGGACAGTTTGGACTGGAAGGAATGTAGCAGAGGGGGCAAGGAGTCATCAGGACATATTTTGGAGAGGGAGCAGACAGCATCTTCTGATATATTGGATAATGGTTGGAATGGGGATGGGAAAGGAAAATAACTCATAATGTTCAAGAATAACTCAGCTTTCAGGGACTGATGAACTGGGTGGCTGGTGGTTTCTTTTCCTAAAATGTGGAAACACTAGAGTGTGTGTGTGTGTGTGTGTGTGTGTGTGTGTGTGTGTGTGTTGTGGGGGGAAGAAATCAGTTTGGAAAGTTAGCTTTTGTGCCTAAGGATACCAAATAAACATATCAGGTAGGTAACTGAGTTTCAGCCTGAAGTTCAAAGGAGAGGTCAAGACGAGCTTGAACTACATAGCAAGACCTTGCCACAGAAAGACAAAAAACTATAAACAAATAAGCAAACAAAATAATCAGACAACAAAAACAAAGGAGAAGAATTGAAGAGAATGGATTGGAAGACCTCTGCTTAGAGGTGGTACTTAAAGACCCAGAACTAGGTGATTAACAGGGTAGAGGGGGAGGAGGGTGAAGAGGCCCACGCTAGGGGGTGCCTGTCTTTTTTATTTTATGAGTGCGTGTTTGCAGTACAGAACGGCTACATTCACCGTGGGAGTTGGCACACGTACAGAACATCACAGCGCCCTCCCTTCCCCATCGCTTGGTCCCCTTCCCATCTGCAAGAGATCTGTCTCCCTGTTTCCTGTTATCTATCTTTCATTTATTTATGTTCTGGTTTTCTTGTATAAGAGAAACCAGGTGATTTACACTTGTGGGTCTGATTTACTTCACTTACCATTCTGGTCTCACGGTGTCTCCATTTTTCCACAAAGAACTCAAGTTTATCGTTCTGTATGGCAGAGCAGTACCCCGTTGTGTGTAATACATTTTCTTTACCTAGTCATGTGTTGATAGGCATATAGGCCACTTGCAAGATTTGGCTAATTATGAGTTGTGCTGCTATAAACACGGGTGAACATGTATCCCTGCAATATGATGACTTTCACTCTTCTGGGAAGATACGTGGAAGGGGACAGCGGGGTCAAATGGAATTTCTATTTTTAGTACTTGAGGAATCTTTAGATTCAGGCTGAAGAGAATAGTCAAACAGATGAGAAGAACACTAGAAGAGGCTGGTATCAAAGCTGCCAAGGTTCAAACAAGATACTCAAAGAAGGGAGCAGTAAGCAGTCAGATGCTGCTGGGAGGAAGATTCGGGTGAAGACAGGGAATTGACCCTTAGGCTTGGAAGGCTGGCAAATACTGGGGATCTTGGTGAGAACAGTTGCAACAGAGAGAAGAAAGGGAAGTGCGGGGCTGGGAATTTAGCTCAGCGGCAAAGCGCCTGCCTGGCAAGCACAGGGTCGTGAGTTCAATTCCTGGTGCTGGAAGAAAAACAAAAACAAAAAAAGAGAAGTGTACTAAAGTGGAGTGAGGGAAAAAGATCAACGCAAGCCTAGATAATTCCCTTAGTGAGTTTTTGTGTGAAAAGGGGAGGAAAAATGGGGTACTAAAAGGAAAATGGGGTGCCGGCCTGGTTACTTCCTCACTCTCCTGCTCCTCCACAGGACCAGTGAACGCGCAGGGAAGTTTGTTCTAGTGCTTCCCCTTCAGCTCTGGTAGCTACATCTTGCTATGCGTAACCACGTCTCCTCCCTCTGCAGCTTGTAGGGAGCACCCAGCAAACCCTGTTACCTCAAAACATCACCACCACTGTCCGTGGTTGCTCCTGTCCCAGCCCTGGCGACCCAGCTCCAGATGGGCTCCAGTCCAGCACGCTGCTGTATTTCTCCCTCTCCCCCAGCTTCCTCCTTCTTGGCCTCTGGCTGCATTCTGTCCCTCTCGTGACTCATGCCTGCATTCACCTCTAGCCTGGAATTTCAGCCCCAACACCAGGGCTACTTCTGATACCCCACAGGGTCCTGCTACTGGCGTCTGGACACCCACCGGGATGGCTGGCACAGGTGGTCCGTCAGTCATCTGTGGCCGGAGGGCCCGGCAACGGTGGCCGCTGCCTTTTCCTGGGAGGATAAACTCTACCTGGTGCAGGTGTGTGCTGGAAGAGAGGCGTGAGGTGCAAGCTGGGACACGAATATCCTGCTCTGGGTTGATTTCTGTCTGTCCGTCTGTCTGTCCTCCAGGGCACCCAGGTGTACGTCTTCCTGACAAAGGGAGGCTACACCCTGGTTAGTGGTTACCCGAAGTGGCTGGAGAAGGAGTTTGGGGGCCCTCATGGGATGAGCCTTACAGTTGTGGATGCAGCCTTTACTTGTCCGGGGTCTTCCCGCCTCTACATCATGTCAGGTGAGGGATTCTGGGAACGAGGGGCTGACTTTATCTGCTACCTTTCTCTGGTGCAGCTCCCGGCCAGGGCAAAAGGGCTACATCAAGACGCCCCTTAGACACCAGCCATGTTGTGTTTGGTGTCTTCTGCCCAGGTCGGCGGCTATGGTGGTTGGACCTGAAGCGGGGGGCTCGAGCCAGGTGGACAGAGCTTCCTTGGCCCCATGAGAACGTCGATGCAGCCCTGTGTGTGGAAAAGCCCCTTGGCCTCCACTCGTGCTCTGCCAGTGGTCCCAGCATATACCTCGTCCGGGGCCCCCATGTGTACTGTTACAGTGACGTGGACAAACTGAGTGCAGCCAAGAGCCTCCCGCAGCCCCAGAAGGTGGCCACCCTCCTGGGCTGCAGCCACTGAGGAGCCTCTGGGTGGGAACCTCCCCGCTTTCTCCCAATAAAGCCAGATTGCTTCTTTCACAGGCCCTTGGTTGTGGAACTATCTTTTTTTAAAAAAAGAATTTAGGTTTTATTTTCAAATTTTTAATTTATTTATTTATTTATTTTGGTTTATTTGAGACAGGGTCTCACTATGTCTCCCAGGCTGTCTTTGAACTCACTATATAGCTCAGGCTGGCCTCAAACTTGTAGCAATCCTCCTGCCTCAGCCTCCTGAGTGCTGGGATTATAGGTGTACATGACCAGACCCAGCATGCACCCTGATCATTTTTGCTCCACTCCCCTGCCCTTCCCCTGATCTCCTTCCCATTGCCAACAAATTTAGCTCCCCATTTTCTACATTTCTCCTTTATTTGCCTTTAAAATTATTTATACTCTGGGTTTCTCAGATAAGAGAAGCCATATAATATTTAACTTCTCTGTCTGACTTATTTCACTTAACATGGTCCTAAGATCCATCTATTTTCCTACAGAGGACTCAAGTTTATCCTTCTTTATGGCTGAGTAGTACTCCACTGTGTATGTATACACATTTTCTGTATCCATTCATCCATTCATCTGTTGATGAACATATATAGGCCATTGCTATAATTTATTTATTTATCTATTTATGTATTTTCTGTCTTTTTGAGACAGGGTCTCCCTATGCCATTGAGGCTGGCCTTGAGCTCACTTTGTAGCCCATGCTGATCTCAAACTTGCAATGATCCTCCTGTCTCAGCCTCCTAAGTGCTGGGATTACAGGTGTGCAAAAGCCACCATGCCCAGCACTACACTTCTATAATTTAGCTGTTGTGAATTGTGCTGCTACAAAACAATTTTCTTTGAGTTGAAAAGTTAGCAATTATTGGAGACCCCTGCAGTGAGCCCCAACTTCCTGCAAGGTGTTATGGCACACAGTGGAATGAAAGAAAGAAAGAAAGAAAGAAAGAAAGAAAGAAAGAAAGAAAGAAGGAAAGAAAGAAAGAGAGAGAGAAAGGAAGAAAGAGAGAAAGAGCAAGAGACAAAATGGCAGTACAGCGGGGATGCAGAATGATCACCTGTTCATGAGGAACAAAAGGCCCTGAAGTAGCCAGAACTTGGCATTTATTGATTGAGGAGGGGATTATCGGATGACTCGGAGGGAGTTGGTGATTTTAAACTAATGAGGACTTTGCCCTGGGGCATTTTTAGTCTCAGTAGTCTTGTCTTAGTCTCAGTCATAGTCTTAGTCTTAGTAGGTGGGAGAAGATGGCCCACCCCCAGTGGGAAAAGGGGAACGCTCAAGTGGGTGATACCAATAATCTCAAGTCTCCCTTCATCCCTTATGGAAGTATGTAAAACTAGCCATTGTGAACTTGTGGTTCCCAACAAGCAACCTCTCTTGGAGGCTCTTAAGCTCAAACAAGGCTACAGGAAGCATGGAGGGAGGTCTGAGGCACAGATCTGTGTAGATGATTCTTAAATGAAGACCACAAACTGGCTTTCTCCAGCTTATCTAGACTGGTGAGAAAAAGAAGAGCAGAGTGGGAAGAGAAACTGCTGAGCTTGCACAGCAAGTAGGAGGCAGAACTAAGACTGTCTCAACCTGCTAATGACTGGTCATCACTGGCCCCAGGGCATCAGGAGCCGCAGAGCTTGCAGCGGCTGTGCGTGTGCCTAGTGGACTGGCTCAGAGTTGCCACGGAGGGTTCTTATGGAGCTCAGGGTAGGGGTGGTGTCAGACAGAAGATGACAAGGGTTTGGCTGCTGTGAGGCAGGCGTACCAGGTGGAATGGAATTGGGTAACAGACTCCAGCTATGTGTTAGAGACAAGTTGGAGAGGAAGAGAAGTGTGGAGAAGGACCTTCTTTGATTAGAATGCATTAAGGACACAATGATTTGTTAAACCTTGAGTTTACGATCCTCCTGTCTCAGCCTCTTGAGTGCTGGGATTATAGGCGTGTCCTGGGTGCTGGGATTACAGGCATGTCTTGGATTACATGTAGAAAAGGATAATCCTTTGATTATCCTTGCTAAAACATTTGGTATCTGCCCATTTGTACTAGCTATGCCCTAGGTTCTCGCTCAATAAAAGGTGACTGAAATTGGTATTTGAGGCAGCAGTCGAGAGGCTGTAAGCCCCCTGATCCCAGAATTTTTGCCTTTCTTGTTTTTCTTGTTTCTCTTACTTTTCTTTTCATCTGCGGACACCTCGTTCACGGGACCTGACACACTGGATAGTATGATAGTGAAGGACTGGTTCAGGACGTGATACCCTAAAACACATTTGCAGAACATGGGAGCTCGGCCGGCAGAAACGACCTGATCAACACCTTCAGTCTCCTGCGCTAGTGAGTGTTGCTGGCATAGAAGATATGGTACTTAGTTCCTTTCTGATCATAAATTGACCAAATGTTTAGGTTCCCAGCTTGCTGATGATCATTTGACTGAGGACCATTCCAAGATTACAGACAATTGGGGCTAGATGAGATTTTTCCTTCTCTACCTTCCCAACCTAGCTGAGGTTGGCGGTTGGTTGGTTTTAGGCTCAAAAACTAACCTGAGACTCTAGCAGGGGACTTTACTCTGCGGTTCTGTATCCTACCTCCAATTACCTCTTCTTTACCTGTAGGATATAACAGTGGGTTACAACAACCCATCCTATACTTTTCTTCTGTAAATTTGTCCGTTAGCAGAATAGCAGCCAGCTGTGTGTCCCAGTAGCTGCATCTGTTGCAATTTCAGAAGAGAGAATTGTATAGTACAATCTTTGGCTTTCAGAAAGCTATGACTCTGGCCTCGTATATAGCAAAGAAAAACAAACTAGTACCGCTGATGTCAACATTGCACCGCGATGGGAATATTGATAGGGAAACTCCAAAATGGAAGCCTGAGATGGAAACTTTCTAGAACAAAACCGAAGGCAGAGCACATGCTGATGCAGCAACTATGATGTCACTCGAAACACAAAGTGTTGGCCAATGCTTGTATTTTACTCAACCCTGAACATGTGTGTCATAAACAGTTTGATACCTTACAAAGAAAATAATAAGTGCAAAATACCACAGAGAAATTTTCTTAGAAGATTGAGACTGGGACGCATAAGAAATCATTTACAGCAGAGGAAAAACAAAATGTTTCTACTCAGGGAACTATGCAAAAAGAAGTTGTGGAGCACACTGGTGAGTTGACAGGTGAACAGCTGGGCAAAGCATCACAAAGACCTGCTACGACAACAGGAAAACCAAAAAAATGTCAACTGTGCCATACAAAAAAGGACAGGAGCCAGGTGTGGTGGCACAAGTCTATAATCCCAGCACTTGTTTTCATTTTTCCGTTTTCCAAAAGCACTTTTCATGCCCAAATAGAGCATCAAAGCCAGGTGTGGTGGCACATGCCTGTAATCCCAGCACTCAGGAGGCTGAGGCAGGAGGATCGTTGGGAGTTCGAGACCAGCCTGGGCTACAAAGTGAGTTCAAGGCCAGCCTGAACTGCATAGTGAGACCTTGTCTCAAAAGGACCAAAAAAAAAAAAAAAAAAACATCAATGTTGGTTATCTGAACAAGTTTCTTAATGATATTTTTATTTCTCTGCCCTACTTTAAGTTTTATCTAGTGATTAAATAAAAATAACCAAAACCAACTATAGGTTAGAGATCTCTAGTTAGATATGTCTGATGTCCAATGCCAGCTAAACCTCTTCTCCCTGTAGATGTGAGAGACTTAACCTTGCTAACTGCATGTGTGTGTATGTGTGCCTTGCGTGTGTATGCAAAATAGGAATGTATATTTGCTATGGTTTGTGTCTGTGTGTCCCCCCAAAGCCTCATATGGTCATGTGGCAGGCTTTTAGAGTTTGATTGATTATGGGTGTGAGAGCTACACCTGCCCTGGGGTGGATAGTTTGCATATGTAAGGGAGAGGAAGAGGCTGCTTGCCGCCACTCCTCCCTTTTGTGCTTGCTGCTTTTGCTGTGTTCTGCCGCCATGAACTGTAGCCCTCTGCCATGTGCCACTCTGCCTTGTAACCACCCAAGTATGGACTGAAACCTCCACAAACTGTAAGTGAAATAAGCCTTTCCTTCCGTAATTTTGGGTGTCAGGTATTTTGTCCCAGCAACGAGAGAAAAGTAACCAAGACAGTATTGCATCATTCACTTTTCAATAAGGACACAGAGACCACTCTAGGTATTCCAGATAAGAAGGATTTAATGCAGGGATTATGAGAAAGTTGTAGGGAGGTTTGTAGACACACAAGAGATAAAGTAAGGTTACCCAGAGATCAAGAAGCTACTCTCAATCTTGATGTAGAGGGGCAAAAGGGAGAAAAGGCGTTGCCCAAAGAACCAGAAGCTGGAGCCCACAAATCTGCATGAGCTTGTATTGGTGATGCTGCTGGTGTTACTGGGTGTCTTAGTTACTTTTCTCTCATTGCTGAGACAAAGTACCTGACACCCAAAATTAAGGAAGGAAAGATTTATTTAGCTCACTGTGAAGGTTTCAGTCCATACTTGGCTGGCTCCAAGGCAGAATGGCACATGGCAGAGGACAACAGTTCATGGCAGTGGAAGACAGCAAAGCAACAAGAGCAAAAGGAAGGAATAGTGGCAAGCAGACTCTTTCCCTCCCTTACACTGTATGCAAACTACCTGCCCTAGGGTGGGTGTAGCCATAATTCCAATACTGGACCATGAATCAATCATAAACTCTAGAAGACCATCCTATGACTGCATGAAGCTTTGGGGGGACATCCAGACACAAACCATAACACTGGGATGCTGGCATTGTGTCCCACCATGATGAAGAATGAAATCATGGATGAAAGAGGTAGAATGCAAGCAGATTTATTTGAAAGACATAAAGAGAAGAAACTAAAAGATAGAAAGGTAAGGAAGTAGACCTCTTACTAGCCAGGAAGGGGTTCAGAGTAGGATACCCAAGAAGGCTGTTTGGGAATTTTTAAGGGGTTCAGTCAAAACTAAATGGGTCATTGTGTAAACAACATGATCTTTATCCTAGAACAGACTACACAGTGTTAGGGTCAAATCTATGCAGTGCTCATTTGAAG